GAGAGAGAGAGAGAGAGAGAGAGAGAGAGAGAGAGAGAGAGAGAGAGAGAGAGAGGTGTTAATCACGTGACAGTGTGCAGCCATGTCTATATTGTAGCCGCATTCTACTCTAAGACTTCCTACTCTAAGGTTTCCTATAGACATTTTACTTGTTTTTACTTCTATGGCCTGGGCTTTTGAGTTAGAGTTAGACAGTCCTGTGTTCAAATGCTAGCTCAATATTTTACTACTTGGCAAGTTACCTAAATGCTCTGAGGCTGTTTATACTTATGTTCATTTTGCAAGATTGGGAATTAAGTGAGATAATATATTTTAAATGTCACACACAGAAATAACACTCAATTAACGCTAATTCCTTTCTCCTTCATTCACAAATATTTTAATGTTAAGCATCAGATAATTGTTATATATCTATTTTGTCTAAGGCGGGGAGCTAGGTGATATTATGGAAAAAAGACGTACACGATGGTGCCTAACCTTAAGGAGCTGTCATCAAATGAAGGGAAAAAGTCTAAATTCATTATTAAAATGAAATAGTATATTAGGATATAGAAATCAAACCCACAATGAGATACCACTTCATATCCACTAGAATGACCATAAAAAAAAAGATAGACAATAATAAGTGTTGGTGAGGATGTGAAAAACTTGGAGCCTTCATACACTGCTGGTGGGAATGTAAAATAGTACAGCCCTCTTGGAAAACAGTTTAACAGTTTCTTAAAAAGTTAAATATAAATTTACCATATGACCCAGCAATTTCACTCCTAAGTATCTATCTACCCAAGAGAAATGAAAACACACATCCACACAAAGACTTGTATGCAAATGTTCATGGGAGCATTACTCATAATAGATAAAAGGGGGAAATGACTCGAATGTCTATCGCTGGAAAATGATAAACAAAATGTGGTGTATCTATACAATGGAATATCATTCTGTCATAAGAAGGAACGTCGTTCTGATATGTGCCACAACAAAGATAAACCTTGAAAACATGCTAAGTTGAATTTGATAGTATTTAAATTATGCCTCGGTGAAGCTGTTTAAAGAGTTAAATAGTAATACAAGAATTCAGTAAAAACATAAAAATAAAATACAAGTGAAGTATTATAAAATTAATGCTAACAATTGTTGAATGCTTATGGTACACTAGGGATTTCCTGACCTAGGTCCTGAAGATGGGTGGAGTCTGGTTGGGTATAGAGAACCAGGGATACGTAGGGGAAGCAGGAAAATATCCAGAACAAAGATAGAACAGTTCAGCGCAAAAGTCCAAGGCAGGCTTAGGGGCAGAGCTAAACCTCTTTGACTGAACAGAGGGAACATGCCGAGAGTGTCAGGAGTTCAAGAGGTAGTTTGGGACCAGACGTTTGAAGCCTTTTAATTTTTAGGAAGGAGGTTTGGAATTGATCCATAAAGCAATGAGGAGCCATTGAAGGGAGGAGTGAAATGATGAAAGAGGTGTTTTGAGAAGTTTAATCTGGCAACGGTGTCCGGGAGGGATGGGAGTGGGAGATGGATGGCAGACAGGGATATCAGTTAAGGAGGCTGCCACAGTAGTCCAGGCTTGAGATGATAAAACCTGAAATAGGGTCATGGCAATGTGCCACATTAACTTGAAATATGACAGTAAAAATACCAAAAATATTATCTTATATTTTCAAATTTTATATGCTAGCCCACTGAAATAAACGATTCTATGCAAAGTTGTATGATATACACCACCCTGAAAGACGTTCATGAGGCAAAAAGTGGGGATGAGAGTCAAACCAATGGTTCTGTTCCCTGATGATCATGGATTTCAGATTCCACTCATCCCTTATTTTATTGTAAATGACAGCACCAAATCCAGGGATCAGGTAGAGTGGGGGTAAAAAGCCTGGAAATTGTAAACAAATGGTCATTTTAGTGCTGCCAAGTAGGAAAATAGGCTGCATGTCAGATCAATTTATGATTTTGGTCAAGTCTCATTCTCTCGGCTCGATTTCCATATCTCTAAAATAGGGAAACTAAGCTACAGCAGAGCTTTTCAAACTGTGTTCTATAACTATGTTAAGGAAGTGATTCAGGGGCTTCTCAGGTGAACTAGAGACCCAACTACTGGAAATCTGGGACCCCCTACCCACACTTCAAAACTGCTCTGATTTGATCTTTGTTTAGCTTTTTGGCTTCATAGTAACCCTTCAATTGAAAAAAAGGTTCCTGTGGCTTTAAATTTTAAAAGAACAACTAGGCTATAGGATCTTCTAAGTTCCTTCAAGCTCTAAAATTTACTGCTCAGACTTAATTTCTTTTATATGTTTTTTTGGGGGAACAACTTCCCTAAAACTATGACTTAAAAATATTTAATAGCTAACTCTTTCAGGAGATGGAAGAGTTTCTTAAAGAAAAGAAGGAAGGCCTTTTGAGCGGTCTTATTCTCAGAATAGAATCCGAGAGTAATTTTATCTGAAGGTCTAAAACTTTGGCTTCATACCGCCTCTGAGGGATTCTGTGCAGTAACCATAGGAGTGAGCCAGATAGTGGAGGGTAAAACACTGTAGATCATCCAGATCTTCTTTTCTCCAAGGAGTCTTGTGGGGGGTGTGGAATGCACATTTCACCTCAGGCACCAGGCCAAAAGAAGGGCTGCTGGGATGACAGGGCCAGCGGGAGCCTCTGTGACTGCCCCCGGGAGCATTTTACTATAGCACCAGCATGAGTTTCATCCCAGTGAATTGGTGATTACCTCCCGTCCTTCCCAGCCTCTCCCCAATGTTTGGATTTTCCATTCATCAACCCAGATAACTCAGAACCTAATAACGTTCCTTGGATAAGGGCTAACTAATCCTCTTCCTAAAATGTAACTTCCTTCTCCTAGGAAGACTGGCAAAGGTGGGGAAGGCCAATGCCATGACTTGGGTCCAGCCAGTCAACGTAAATGCTTTCTTTTATTTCTTCTCTTTCTCCTGACAATGAGCAAGGATGGAAGAGAATCATAGCAATATGATTAACTTTTACTATGCAGAAAGCACTTTACATGCATCATTTAACTTAAGCCTCCCAATAACCATAAAGGTGAATAGTATGATTATTGCCAATATTCAGATAAGCATACTAAGGGCAAGAAAGGTAAAGTAACTAGCCCAAGATTATTAGAGCCCTCATACATTGCTGGTGGGAATGTAAAATAGTACAACCAGTAAGTGGCAGAGTCAGCATTAGAACCTAAGTTTGCCTGTCTTTCAGTCTGAACTTTCTTTTTAAATTAAATTTGTTGGGGTGACCATGGTTAGTAAAATTACATAGGTTTTAAGTGTACAATTCTATACTACATTATCTACATGTCACATTGTGTGTTCACCACCCAGAGTCAGTTCTCCTTCTATCACCATATATTTGACCCCATTTACCCTCTTCTACCATCTCCCTCCTCTTTTTTCCTCTGGTAACCACTAAACTGTTATCTGTGTCTAGGAGTTTTTGTTTCTTTGTGTGTCTTGTTCCTTCGTTGTTTTCAGCTTTATATCCCATATGAGTGAAGTCATGTGGTTCTTGACTTTTTCTGTCTGACTTTTTTGCTTAGCATAATAATCTCAAGATCCATCCACGTCACAAATGGCAGTCTGAACCCTTAATCACACATGACACTATTCTAAAGGTCTGCTTTATTTAATGGGACCCATGAGACCTCAATTCGGCAGTCTCCTTTCCTTAGTGCCTAATCACAAGGGTCCTTCCTTCAAATCTGCAGGCTGAAGAGAACTTTTTTTGAATTCTCTGTGTCCCATATGCTCAGAGACTACAAAGTCCAGGAACACGGGAGTACAATTATAATCATACAATTAGCATCCTATTCATGGCAGACAATCACCTATGGACTTAGGAGAGCAATGCCTTTAACAATACGCCCTGGGAGGAGGTCTTCATCTAGAACCACTTACATAGCCGATACATCAGTGCTCGCTCCTACACTGCTATTTTTGTTATGATTTTTTCATATATAATACCGAAATCAACATTCCATGGAAAAACTGTCATTACCATGTTCATGCATGCACACACAAGCACATGCGTGCACACACACACATACACATACACACACACACTTGAATACACACATACTCATTCTACCCTTTTAATCCTTTATCTTGTGGAAATAAAATTATTTATAAAACATGACATTTTGTTACTCTGAGACATTTGGGGGGAGATACCACCAGAAGGCAATTTTACAGACAAATGATAAAACCTATGACAATGTAGGTTAACTCTCTATTGCAATGCCCATTAGCAGGCACCATCTGATGGAACTCTATATGGGCTGACAAAATACGGGGCAAGAATTCTAAGAGCCTATGGTGATACAGCTGGCATCTTAATTGTCAGAGGTAGCTTTCCCCTCTGTGGAACCAAGTATCTCTGTGATGTATTTCAGCCAGCAGTAGCTGCATCCGATGAATTGTATATCATACAAAGAAGGCAAAGCCAATTCAAATGATGCTTATATGCAAGAAAGGGGAGGGTCTTGAATCTGTTTTTGACATTTCAGTTCAGGCTTTGTGGTTCTTGTTTTGGCTAAATTTGCTTGTGAGGCAATACTATGGGGTGGGGAGGGGCTTCTCTGTGGAAGACACACAGGCCTGTTATAGGCAAGTCAAAGAAGTGTAAGGGCTGAAAACTAATAAGTTAAAGCTGTGTGTATATGGATTAATTTATGCTAGTGTTAGCATAGGAATTACGTAGACAAATAGGGTAGCTGGGGGTATATCACTAACTTCTGAGGTAAGTCTGGAATGGTGAATGCTGATGCAATCATCTCCCTGAATGAAAGGCACCAGGGGAAATCAAGTTCTCTTGCTGGGAAGTTGTTGAAGTTTTGGAGCCAGGAAATTGACAGTAAAGAGGCACGATTTCCTTGGCCTTCTTTTCCTAATAAGTCATGTTCCTTAGTGTCCAGTAACTTGGAAGAGAAGAACTAGAGGGGACTGGCCCTTCCTGAGTAGGGACTAGAAACATCTGAAAATACGAGGTGCAGGCAGGTCAGGAAGGCACATGTGGAGATAGAGGGAGAAGAAGCCGGTGTTCTGAGAAGAATCATGGGCCCAAACAGCACGAGTGAGGCCTGGTTTCATTCCATGAGGAACCTGTTTACAATTTCATGCTTCCGACTGATGAGTATAGAAGGGCGGGCTGCCTAACTCACATCTCTGCAGCCTAATTAAAAGTTAGTTATTATGGTGTAAATGGTGACAAAAATACTGCTCAGTAATGTTAGGAGGATTATTTTGTTCTGTTCTCGCCTTCTGTACGTCTACATTTGGGGTGTCTTCTTTTCCTCCTTATTTATACCTTTTCATTCTCCTTCTGAGGACCATACATACCTCTGTCCAGTCAGAGAGAAGCCACTCACTGGGACAGTCATCTTTCTTGCAGGCTTGCTGGGAGGACAGTTTTGAGGCTGAGCAGAAGGTCTCAGGAAGCTCCAGGAAGCTGCCGTCAGCCATGCGTTGCTTGCAAAAAACCTCACGCTTCTGGAAGCCCCCTCCACAAGTCCTGGAACACTGGTGAAGGGAGAGAAAGTCGACCCAACATAAGAAAGTGGTGTGTTTTGAGTGCCGATTTCTACCTTCGCCTTGGCTGAGTGAAAATAGAAAAGAAAAGGAAAGAAAAAAAAAAAGGAAGAAAAAGAAACAGAAGAAACCCCAGCAACAGCCCAAAGGATTTTGCCTCCTCCCCTTGAAATGAATTTTGGAACAAGCTCTACACCCTCTACTCTTAATCTCAAGTACTTAACTAGCGCATCCAGGAATTTCAAGAGCCTTTAAATCGTAGAATGTTGCTTCTCAACTATGATTTGCAGCCACCCAAGACAACTGGTTTAAAAGGTTAGTATAATAGAGTGTTAAACATATTTACGATCCAGTGAACATAATCTGTGCTGCTTCCTGAATGAACAAGAGAGCTCCTGCCATCGGTGTAAATCTAGAGGAATTAATCTGCAGAGAAGGCAGCCCTTTCTAAGTGTAAACATCCACTCTACCACATTGGGGTGGGGGTTGGGGAGTGGCGGTGGTATTAAATTTGGGGCCTGGTTTTCTGAATAAATCCCTGGAACACTTTTCTTGTAGGATTTGTGATTTCTTAGGGCAGTGGGAGCAAGAGCCACTGAAATTTGGGATATAAGAAAAATAGCCTTATTTCAGTGGTTTTCAGCAGGATCCCAAACACACTGACTACATGTAACTTAATAGTTATAATCCAGCTGCATGAGGACGGGAGGCCCCCTGCAGCACAGAGTGTTGGCTGTTATTCCAAGTCTTTGTCCCCTCCCTTGCAATAGCAGAGCGCCCCTGATTTTTAGCTGGGCACATGACTTTTCAGCACACAGACTAGATTTATCAACCTCCCTTGAAGGTAGACACTGCCAGGTGACGAAGTGCTGACCGATGGGATATAAGTGGAAGGGTTGTGTGTACTTTCGGGGAAATTCCCCAAAGAGAGTGTGACATTTCCCTCTTCCCTTTTTCCTCCTTGCTGGCTGGAATGTGAACATGATGCCTACAACTGAAGCTTCCTTCTTGGACTGTGATAGGCAAAAAGATGGAAGCTGCCCGTGTTCCTGATTGCGAAGACGCCATACCAGCCCTGGATGGACTGTGTTTATGTGAGAGAGAAATACTTGGCCTTCTTATTTCAGCCTTTGTGACTTTGTATTTTCTGGTATGTTCAGGCAGATCTAACCTTAGTGAATCTATAAACCTATGACTGTGCTGCAGATATTTTTTTGGTAAAAATTCTAGGGAGCACTCTGCTTTCTTCAGGAATAACCCCGTTTCTTTAACCTGCTGCCCTTGGGCTGTCTGGGAAATAGGCTTGGGTGTAAAGCCCCAGAGTTTGTGTTCAAGGAGCTGCTCCTGCCACAGAGTGGCCTCTCAGAACTCAGTATGTGCTCAGCGTACCGTACTCAGAACTGCAAGGGAGATTTGTGCCCACAACTGAGGTTGGGATGGAGATAGAATATCCCTGAGTACAGTCAAAACGCTGTTGTGGCGCAGCTGTCACCCGCTTCCTCCGTGATCCCAAACTTGGATGCATTTTAAAATTACTTGGGGTTTTTAAAAAAGTGCTGAGTTCTTGGATTTAATCAGAAATTTAATCATTAAGTCAGATACTCTGGGAGATGGGTCCCAGGCATCAGTTTTTTAAATTAAAAAAATTTAATTCTCCCAGGTAATTCTGCAACCAGGGTTGAGAACTGTCTCTCAAATGAATGCCCCTCCACCACCTCCAATGGGAATAAGATAAAGAGAGAGAGGACATCTTGGGACCCAGAGAGGTCTCTGTCAGAACCAGTGGCTGTTTGGACCCCATCTGGGCAAATATACCCTCTGTTTGCATTGTAAATGACTTGAGGTCACAGAGCTACTGGGTAATAAAGTTAGGAAAGCTATCAATTTAGGCCTTTTAACCCCAGAGCCTTTCAAACCATCCAAGCCAGTGACAACAGCCTCAATTTGCATTTTACATTAAACGTTTTTGAAATGAAAATAACCTTATTGAGTCCCACAGGAAAAAATGTATTTTCTTAAGGCTGGATTCAACTATGTACTCACTGAATAAAAGAAGGTTAAAGATAAAGGTGACACCACCCTATGAGGTAGGTCTTGTCTCCACTTTACAGATGAAGAAGCTGAGGCTAGAGAGGTGAAGTGACTCAACTAAGGCCACACACGGGCAAGAACTGGTTTATTTCCATTCTGTGCAATATTCCCCAAGCTCCTACTGAGCATATTCTCTGGGCTGGAGTGGGAGACGCAGCTGGAGAAGGCGCCCAAGCTCAGCTTTTCCTTCCTGTGGTCGTAGGGAAGGCTCTCTGCTTTCATTGGAGGGTGCTCTGACTGCTGCTTCAAGCTGAGGGTCCCAGGCCTTTAAGTCCCAAGCCTGCTAAGTGTCTGGTCTCCCCACATCCTCACTAGAGAGGCAGTGCTTTGAAATTCATTCATCAGCCTCCATTCTGTGACTCTCCCTGAGCAGCCCATGCCCAGGCTGGGGACCAACACTCTAAAATAGCTCATTTGCACTGTGGTGGCCCTGGAAATGTGTTCTCCCTAGGTCCTTCGACTTCTGAGCTGAAAGGCTACATTTGAACATAGCTTCTAGGCTATGCTATAAGCTGGGTGGGTGGGTGGGCTACATTCGGTGGCTGGCAGCCAACTGTTACTCATCACAGATTCAAACAGTTTCTTCCAAGGGTTTGCCTTGCATGTTATTTAGCCTTAATTAAGGAAAAATCTATGGCCTCAAAGCTAATGATTCAAGCTATGGGTGGCCCAGGCCTCAGGCGTTTCTGGCTCATTTTCGTGATTCCCTGGCTTTTTCATTGATCAGAGAAGCAAACTTTTATTTTAGTTCTTGTTTAGCAGTAGTTCAATAAACTCTTGAAGGATTTTACTTCTCTAGTGTATTTTGTACTCCATTGCCTAGCACAGGGCCTTCTGTGAACGTAAACCCTCACTAAATATTTGTGGAATTGAACTGAAGTTGGTGGTTGGGGGAAACTGAAATTAGTGCCTAAGAATTCCATTTATTTAGAATAACCCTTCTTGTTACTAGGGATAACTACGGTTTTAAATTTGGTTTTATAGTCTTTTGTATGACTTCGTCGGTTCAGCATTCTTCTATTTGTGTCAAATTCTAACTTCTAACCAACCAGTTATTCTGTCATCAGATTTTTTATAACCTTTATTGTTCAGTCCTTCTTCAGAACTTGTTTATAACTAGACAACTAACTGTGTGCATTACTGATTCCAAAGGATTTGCCTAACTCAAGGGACTCTATTTTCCACAATTCTTTCCGTTCCATGAATTATTAAAATTCTTCCATGAATGTAATTTTGTTCAAATCATAATTGTCAGAAAAAAGACAAGTTTATGCCAGTAAATAAAAAATTTAAATCTTAAGCTCTGACCTCTCCCCTTTCCTTACTCGACATGTCCACTTACATGCAGACAGGTATCTTGACCTAAACATGTCTAAAGTGGAACTTATAATTCTGCCCCTCCAATATTACTTCACGTCTGCTCTCTTCTCAGTCTTCCTCACTCATTTAATGGTGCCATATCCAAGACAAAAACTTAGGAAAAGCTCTCGAGTTTTCTTTTTTCTTAACAACTCTCCCCTGACAATCAATGAGCAAATACTTTCAGATTTGCCTGTAAAATAAGGAAGCTTTACCTTCACAATAAATAATAAATTGGGATACCATCAGCTGTTGCCTAGATTATTACTAAGCTTCCTAATCAGTCTCCCAGTTTCTAGTTTTCTCGGTGCCTAGCAGGATATAGATAGCATACTTAATTTGAAGAGAACTCCTCTCTCTTTCTGATGGCCTGCTGAAAACTCCATTGGTTGAATACAACTAAAAGTCAGAGGGTAGAGTGTATCTAGGTCAGCCTCCTGGACACAGGTGGAGAAGGTAGAGAGTAGCTCTAGAGGAGGAATGGAAGATATTCAGCATATCGTCTTACTAAGAGCGATGTTTTTCAAAGCATAAATCAGGTAACATAACTCTCATGCTTGAAGCCCTCCAACAGCTTCCCCTTGTGATGAGAATAGAATCCAAACTCCTGTAACCCTGCCCTGCAAAGCCCTCTGTGTTCTGGTCCTTGGCCTGATGGAACTTTGAGATTGTCTAACTCAAATCCTTTCAACTTCATTCATTTATTCAACACAAAGTTATTAAATACCAATCGTGGACCGAGCATAGTTCTAGGTTCTAGCAATGAAAAAGGAGCTTCACACACCTCTATAATTTTATCTCACACAACTCTCCCTTTCTCTGCATATTGCAGCCATATATATATATATATATATATATATATATATATATATATATATATATATATATATATATTTTTTGCTATTGTTGTTCCTCCAATGTCTCCAAGGTCAAAGTTGCGTCTCCCACAGGGTCTTCACATGTGCTCTTCTCTCTACTTGGACCATTCTTCTTTTACATCTTCATGTGGCTGAGAATTTCTAATCATTCAGGTTCAATTTCATTTTCACTTGCCTGGAGAGGCCATCCCTAACCTCCCAACGAGAATAGCCAAAGCAGCCTCTATCCTATTACGTAACTTAATTTTGTTTTTAAATAGCTCTTTTAAGTAGCTCTCATCCCTTTCAGAAATTATCCTCTATTAGACTATTAGCTCTATTAAGGAAGCAATTTTGTTTTTCTTATTGCTCATACTAACGTTTGAGAATTGCATTCAAAACTTTTCCCTAGGATGATATTGTTACATCTTTAATAAGAAGCCTTAGGATTGGATGATTTCATCTTTACTTTCTTTTTTTTTCTTCCACATCCTCTCATTTATTTTCCCTTTAAAGTTAATGATTTGTTTGTTTCCCAGTAAAGAAGTGGTCAGGATATGAGCTAAACCATAGAATGACATTTTACACCAGCTGCTGGAGGTATGTGATGTTTTGGTATGATCTATAAATATGTACACTGCAGCGAAAATGCAGTGTATTTTTCTATGAGAGAAGTGATGGCTG